AAATAAAATGGCCCCGTCCGTGTTAAAATATATTTTTAAACTTTTAGTTTAAAAATGATAAAAACTAAACAACCCTACAGTATTTTTACAGTCTTTATTTTACAGTTAAAATATATATTTATTAAATAAAGTCTAATGTTACAACTAATCGGGGATCCCTTTAAAAAAGTTCCTGTACTTATCTGTGATTTTGTTGTTTGTCAGCTCGGTCTACTCTCAGTTTTCAGACTCCTGAGGAGATTCTACTGAAGAATCCTCTCTGATGCTCTTCTAATGTTAATAATCTTCATTTACAAATAAAACCAAGACTCTTCGGACACGTACCTGTTACTTACTCTGGGCCTCCACCAGGTTTTTCACCTCCTTGGATTTCTGGATTTCCTCTTGCTCTCTTCACACTTCAAGTTTTACTATTTACCTGTTCAAGTTTCTTCTGTATGCCTTTCAGAATACCTCTGACCTCTGTGTACTTGTTGGTATTTTAAAAATTCAGATATCACAACAGCTGTCTCCATTGAGAATACTGTGCTATGGCTTTTAGTATTTGTAACATTTTACTTTACCTTTATGTACAGACGTTTTTCCCACAGAACTATACGAAGATCTCTTATTATTAATTAAAATTTGTACTCTGAAACAAACTAGCTACTGTTCTGTTCATTTTAGCTTTGAACTACAGTTGTGAAAACTTTAGTTTTTATCATTTTGATTTGTAGCCGTTTTGCTTGGTTTATTTAATTTTAGCCTTCAGTAGAGGTTGGGGGCGGCACAGTTGGCTGGAGAAGTCGAAGTCTGTGATTGAGAGGATGCAAATTTGAATTTTGAGTTTAAAAAAGGCAGTTTTGGATGGCAAATGTGAAGCATCCACCCTCATTTGTTCTACTGTGGGCCCTCATGCAAACCCTTTGACCCCCCCTTCAGTTGCTAGTGTTCATAATGCACTTTTACAGGTAACTATTACTCCATTTTTTTTGGTTTTGTCATTCTGTACCTCAACYTATGTTAGCTAAATAACATTCGTATAAGTCAACAGTTGATTTTGAAATTAAAACCAGAGCTGAAGCCTTGCAGCTTTAAGGCCTCAGAGGTTTGATTGTGGGAGGCGTTCATGTTTCACTGAACATTAACTATTAATAGACGCTCTAATGGTTACAGGAGGACGCCTCCTGCACTCCGCTGACACTTTCAGTTCACATAAACTTCAGCTGCTTTGGGAAACTTCACAGAAACTGCATCGTTGACGTCATTAAATTCATTTCACGGTTTTTCATTTCACATCAAAATGTTTAATTTGTTTGTTTATCATGTTACCCGTTTCTGCAAAAAATTCATGTTTCCTTCAACCAGAGACAATTTCTCTAAGACTGCAAGGGAAGCTCAGCTTCCCCTAAAATGTAAAAAAAAATAGATAAAATACATAAACTGTTGTGTGTTCATGTCATTGACTAAATATGTGTTACAACGTGCTCAACTTTTGTTCAGAATCAGCTTCTTATCGACGTAACGACGCAGGTTAGGGTTTTTGATTATAAATTTCCTTAATGTGCACATGACTGGTTGTCATGTGAAAAGGGGGAATTGAAGAAATTTATTGTGGTTGTTTACTGATGATTTATAAAGACACTACACATTGTATAGTCTTTTATTAGGTGAACAGTAATACATTTCTATAATGTGGTTATCTCTGACCTGGTGATTTTATGTGCAGACTGGGTTGTGGGGCTCTTGATCAGGGTCTCACCGACTCAGGGGGCTTTTAGTCAGATACATGTCTGATTTAAAAACAACACAGAAAAACAGTGATCAAACATTAGTGTGAGGGATGATGTCTGACAAATTCACTCCATATAGGAGTAGCCTGCCCCTTTAACACACAGCAGGTAAAATAAGTATTGAACACGTCACCATTTTTCTCAGTAAATATATTACT